AAGCATGAGTGGTTAGAAAGCTGAAAAAGTGTGTGTATTTTAAATAATCTGCTTTTTAGCCACCATGTATGAAATAGTCAGATGTGGTGTCCATATGAAAACTGGAGAGTTACTGTACTAACACACTGAACAAGGTGGACAGGTGAGTTTGAATTCATCGGGTGGGAAGTGCATTTTTAAAGCAAAGTAATGGTCTATTGATAAGAGAGAACCTTTCTCACATGAAATAAATCGCAAACCTGTAGAGAGGAAAAATCTTGAGTCATATTTGTATTAATGGTATTCTCTTTTTTTAGTGGTTCTGCTTCCCATGCTCTGTATTTGGCATATTTTACCCTCTGCCCTAGCTTATCAGCAATGGCAGTACTCATGCCTGGGTAGAATTGGGTCTTGTGTCTTTGCAGTTCTCAAAATTCAGATACACGTAACACACTAGCATGTCTGATTGTGTTATATGCTGTTTTGATACATAAACATTGTTTGGAATTTCAAGTCAATGCTTAAATGATTGCTTATGTTCAGCTAGTTCTACACTTTTTTTAGCTTTGTGAAACTTGGTAATTTTTTATTTGATTTCTGTGAAACTTTATTTTGGCAGTAGGGAAATACTTGTGTGTTTTATTTCCAGATACTCTGATGCTACATTTTGTTTGAAGTCTTGGAGAAATACACTGAGGAAAAATATGCATGTCTCAAATTTATTGCTTAAAAGCTCAAGTCACTGACACTGTGGTACTAAGGACATGCCCAGGCCGCAGGATGGCACTGACTTGGGGCGGAATATGGCAGAGATGGTGCAGCAATGTTAATGCTAGCTGTGTGCTCACTTACATGCTCTGGGCAGCATACAGCTAACAGGGATTATGAATGAGAATGGATGGCAGTTGTGCTTTATTCTTACCACCGTTAGACCCCACCAAACAGCCTATAAATCCCTGAAGATATGTTTAGGTTGAGTATTGACTTTTAGATTTTGAGGAAGATGGATGCAAAGTTCTTAAAATAGCAGGCTTCACTAGTGAAATGTCCTGTGGCATTCTAGGATGTAGTTCAGAGAAAAGATACAGAACTACACTGCCAGACCTTAAAGTATGTGCCTCTAGAAAGAAAATATCTTCAGTTTTGTCACTAGCTATTGCATCAAAATTGTTTCGTCCTACCACTTTTAAAGTATTGTTCACTTTAGAAGATATTTTATTTCCTGCTTTCAAGAAGAGGTAATGAATATGGGCTTGTTTTCATCAGTCAAACCTTATTAACAGAAGTTCCTGATTTTGTGGTATCTGCTTGAAGGCAATGGAAGGGGTGAAGTACAAAAGTATTTTTGGAGGATTCTCCCAGCTATTAGAATTGCTTTTGGAAGTGATGAAAGTTGGTTATTGAAGCTTTAAAAAAGACCTTTGCGGTAGACATTGCTGGTCAAATATTAGTACTATTTTTCCTTTCCACAGGTATTGTTGTTATCCAGCTATTGAGTGAGTTACAGAATGTGGAAAGAAAATGATTCTTGAAGAAATACTACTTGTAAAATATTACTGGCACTTTAACAAATTGCTGCAGAGTAGTGTGCACTGTACATTCAATGTAGTAATTTAAAAGAATGAAATATTGATGATTCAGCTTTGCGTTAGCAACAAATTGTTCAGAGTTTGTATGTAATATGAAAGCACAACCTGATCCTGAACCCCCTCTGGTTATGAAAAATCACTTAGTGCTTGATATTAGAGTGGAGCAGTTCATGCTAGTAATTAATACAGTCTGCAGAGAACACTTGCGTGTTCAGGCTTTCTGCAGTCAAAAGACGATCTGCCAAACCTGTGTGGCTTTAGTTACATAACTGCTTTTTCTTGCTTTGAATTATGCATATGTCCCACTGCTTCTCCAGAGATGATTTTTTTTTTTTCTATTAGTGTGACTGGAAGGCAAGGCTCTGCCTTACCTCACACGTGTGAATGTAATTGGGCAGAATGATCTCTGTGACTCTCAATACCTGATTAATCTCTTTGAATATCATTCTTCTTGCCTTCTCTACTTTCTTTTTTCCTTTTTTTTTTTTGCTGTTGTCTGTTTTCATTTTGTTTGCACCGCGATTGTTCTAGATAAGCCTTATTATGCTTTCATTATATATTCCTTTCCTCTTCTTCCCATGTTTTTTTTGACCAAGGTGCTATATTCACTTTCCATACTTGCGTAACACTAAATTTCAATGCGACCTAAGCTTTTTCACTGGAGATTGCCCTGGCACACCATGCAGCCCTGGATGAGTTAGGTATTCTGCCTGTACCTCCTGTTCCTTGGCTGTGTTTTGGTGCTTGGACTGTTGCTCTTGGAACTACAAGTGCCTTCAAGTTTTTGTTTTCTTTTAATTATTGATATCTTATTGATATCATCTCAGGGACCAAAGGCATGAGGACTTCCAGAAAAACCCTTTTGCTGTTACCAGTTATCTGCTACATCATCTTCATTCTTTTGCTACTGAAGTCAGCACGTCTGAAAGCATGCTGGAGAGATATGAATTCCTTTGTCTCGTCTTTTGCCTTGTGTCTTCCTCTGTCTTGTTTGGAGGAGAATATAGGAAGCCAGACAACTGGGTTTCCAAGAATACGGTATCCAGCATCTCCTCCCTTTGCCCTCACTTTCTCACTTAGTGCGCTTCAAAGCTGATTTTCTTTTTAATCAAGAGGCTACTTGGTGTATGTGTTTTCAGCAAAGTTGATGCCTCCAGGAATAAGGTGTTCCTTTTGAATCTGGAACATCACGTATTTTGGGATTTATTATGTATGCAAGAGAAAAGCCTTATACCCAAAACCCCTTGCTTCTTCCTGTCTGCATTTTAGTAATTAGTCAATGTGATACTGGGTAGAAAATAGAGAGCACTGATATGCAAGTAAAATGGGTGGTATGAATGCAGCCTGCCAAAACTCAAGCAATCTTGATAACATCTTTGGAAAAAATGTTTGTTTGTGATCTTCAAAAGCAGCCACTTGGCACACTGTTGCCAAAGAGGACTGATAGAGGCTTCGACACAAGACACAGCCTCTGTCCACATAATCCCTGCAGGCTGGGGAATGTACCTCAGAGTTGCTGAGTGTTAATGCATCTGTGGAAATTTCTCAAAGGAGAAAAAGTTAGTTGTGATGTGCTGGTTTTGAACTGTTTACCTATATGCACATTCACAACATGCTTATCTTTCTCTCTGCCTTTGCCCTTCAATAACAAAATCTAGAGATTCTTGAGTTGTCTAGTGCATAACAACCCAGGTGCCATCTGCCCATATGTACTAGTGGGACACAGTTCTCCAGCTCCCTGATACTTCAAAGGCAAAAGACATACCTACCATACACATGCGCGAGTCTGTGAATGTTTGTATGACCAATGCATTTCCAGCTTCCTGTCACTGGCCAGAAACCTTTGTGTCTCTGCATTTATGAACATTGCATTAATGATATGTTATGCAGCTCTTGATTACTTCCATTCTGGGTAGAAGATGAGACACGGCAGCTCTTGGTGATTAGAGGAGCATCTGTCAGTTCCTATTTGTCTCTTAATATCCATGCTATAAATAACTGGAAATGTTTGTACTTAGGTCAGTATTTCTAGTCTTTTATTCTGTGTGTAAAAATTATGCTGACTCATATAAATATTCAGATTTGCTGTAGGAAAGTGTACAGTGAGAGGGAGAATAACCATGTGTTAATGCTGTGAACTGATGAAATCTCTCCATTTTATCCAAATACAGTATAGCTGACCTAATCAAGCTTTGTCTCCTATGGGCTGGTGTCCTTCATTCTTATCATATCCAGTGCCAGATATTCAGATTCACAGCATATTCCTAGAACAGACCCATGGGGCAAGAGGCAGATGGTATGTGCTATGGCTGGTCCAGAGCTGTGCAAATGCTGGTTGTGTGTCCGCTGTCGAGAAGACTGCATGACCACTGACTTAAGTCTGCTAGTCTGCTTCTTCTTTCTGCGAGACTAGGAATATAGGTGTCTCTATTTAGCTGACAATTTTCGTGTAGACTCTGGGAAATTGACTTTTGATCCTTAGCTCTTTTTAGAATGATTGGCTGGTAAAGTTAAATCTTCAACAGCATGATTAAATCAAACTAGCTCCTCATCATGTGGGTTTTTTGCGGGGGAGGTAGGAGTTATTGTGAAGCATTTTTGTTTTGAAAATTGGGGTAAAAATGTAATACAGAGATCATGCATCTGTGGCATTAAAAACTGAATGAATAAAATAATAAAGAACTCAGGTTTGTTTAAATGTTGTCTCTTTTTTTTTTTTTTGAAGCTTTTAATTTAAACAATGTGCACCTTAAAATTGTGGTCTTGCAGTGCTGGTGTATTTCATGGAAATGCAACTCCTAAAATTATAAAACAAAGTAATTCTTGTTATTGTTATGGTCTGAAGAAATTTGTTTTCTTTTGATGGAAGTTTAATGTTGAAATCTTGTACAATGTATCTGCCACATATTCATACACTTTTCATCATAAGGTTCTTTAAATTCGTTAGTTTTCAGCCCCCATGAAGTGTTCAGAAAAGTAGATGTAAAAAAAAGTGGATGTAAACCTCGGAGAAGTTTTGAGGTGGTAAAATACAACAAAGTTTAGGGATAGTAGGAGCTTATGGAAGAAAGAAAATAACTATAACCTTTCATAGCTTCTTTTTTATAAAAAAAGTCAGATGACTTTTGCCATCTATTCAATAATTTGTGCATTGCATTGATTATTTATGGCCAGCAAATTGACTGTTGTGTGGTGGTTCAATGGCGCTCTTTAAATAGAGTGAGACAACATGCAGTGCTAGCTAAAACAGCATTTAGTGTTTCTTCCTATGAGCATAATCTAGAAAACAATCATATTTTGAGCTTTCTCAGGAAGCAATATTTTGGTTTATTTTCCCTCCATTTTTTTGCAAAAAGGACTGTTTGTGTTGCTTGTTTCATGACTACTCACTGTTATGACTACAAATACTGTGGTGCCACAAATGACGGTGAAATGGAAACACTCAAGCTCACTGATTTAACAAGGAGCCCAAGAATGGAAATACATCAAAATCTTCATATGCAGCCAAAGCAGCCTTTCCGGCATCAGCAGCGGGCAATGAGCATTCGTACATCTTTTAGTTCATCCACGTTGCCTGTGTCTTCCAAACACAGAGGAAAATTCATAAACCTACGCGACAGTGTAAAAAAGAGTCCTACAAAAAGCACAGCAAAAGTAAAAGCTGCTAGTGGTTGGGTGTCTGATGGCTCATGTTCTAACTGTTCTTTAGAAAAGGTATGTATTGCACTAGGTTTTTATAGATGTGCACTTTTGGTGCAAACCGTAGAAAGTATGTCACGCTTTTTCTTACTGTAGTTTTATCCCTACTATTTCTAGAGACTTAATGTTACTTAATTTTCTTTTGTATTTTGTCCCTAGAAATCAAAGTAGTAATAATTGAAATTGGGCTGGCAAAGAAATACTTCTGCTCAGTGTTTTCCCTTAAGATTGTTGAACTGTATACAGTGTAGGTTTTTTATAGTAATTTCTTGAAAGTGAGGACAGTCTGGTTTACTTGATTTTTGTTCTCCAAAATACGTCTTTTAGTGCTTTACAAATAGCAGCATTATGGAATTTGCTGGTTTAGTTGATCTGCTTCGGGATGTGTATGGTGCTTTGATAATTCCAGGTTAGTTGGTATTTCCTCACAGAAGCAGTTATTGTGTGTGTTGGTTAAACGTGAGAAAATGGGTGTATTCTTCCTTTTCACAACATCTGGACTTAGTGTTAGGTTTGGAGGCACTCCTTTTAGTTGATCACTTAAAAGGTATTATTATCTTTGCTTTTTTAAACATACCACTTAAAATTAAATTATTATTTTTGTTTATAAATGTTAGAAAGTCTGTCCTTACACTTTAGAAAAGAATTACTTGAGATGTATTGTACTGTTGTAACAGAATGGCTTTTCACTGTAGGTGTTAGCACATTCATTTAGGCTGACAGACTCTGTTAAAGTGAGTTACTGTTCAAGTCATGCATTTCTATATATAATAGCCTACCATACTTGTGTGCTATAGTTCATATATATTCAAAACAGGTTTTTTAATTGGCCTGTTGCTTTCTTTGTAGTTTAAATAAAGTTTGTGTCCATTTAAATCAGAATTATTAAATGTTGTGGTCAGAGACGTATTTATTTATAGTTAGAGGATAAGCTTTTGTTTTTCAGAATACTTTAGCGTGTTAATTTGGAGAATTCCTAAAAATTACAAATGTTTCTTGAAAATTCCTGGGAAGCAGAGCATTGAAAGTGATACCCTGAATTATCGGAGTCTATTCAGCTGCTCTCACAGATACCTGTATCATATAGTAATTTTCAGACTGATTATGTGCCATACTAAAATAAAATTAGCATTCTTCTGTTATAATGATGTTCTAGGTCTTCTTGCACTGATGGTTAGAAATCTTTTAATTTCTTGCATTGTCCTTCCTTGTGGTAGCCATTGTGCCTACATCAATTCACTGTATTCCATGAAACGTTTAAGTGAAGACAGTCTTACCTTCGTTTGGATTTGCACATCCTTTGAAAGTGGTTGCCAGTGTTGTCACCTCCTTCCTCACGCTCACGGTAGTGGAGGAGACTCAATAGGAACATGCCAGGATGCTTGGAGGAGCAGGGAGCAGCGTTTAAGAGTCAGTGGATACTAAACCATCAGCACAAACGGAAAATGTAATGACAGCACTAACAGCTTCTGAGACTGGAACCTGAAAGAATTAAAGGACTTTGAACAATGTCAGTTTTAAAACAATAAGGATAAAAATTTGAACTGGTTGGAAGGGTTCTTGAAGCATTTGGGAGTGAGAAGCCCAGAGAGAGAAGGGAGTTAAGAATTGAGAAAAGGAAGGAAGCAGGAAAATAAAGCTGCCGTTTGGTGCAGAGAGAGGGGTGCAGATTGTTTGGTCCATAAGGAAATCAACTATGACTGTGTCAGTTATTTTGCTAAGTCAAAGGGCAGGGGAGTGTGGTCAGTATCTATCTGTTTGTTTTTAACCTTCTCTTATTGCAGGAGTTGTAACTGTAAAGCTGGAGTTTTTCTGACTTGCTAACAGTTAGCTTGTCAGCCTTAATGTTGTGTTATATTTTGATATATAATATGTGTATATCTGAAATCTTGGTTAACAGGATTTTTTTACTGTGCGCATACATGGGAAGCTGCTTACTCTGGAACGAGGCAGACTTGAAGGGGTGGCTTATTTTTTACATACGTAGGGCTGAGTGATTGCTCAAGCTATTTAATTTCATCTGTCCTCTAAAGGTTGCATCATTCTTCCAGTAACTGGAGGTTTGTTGCACTGAGCACTTTCTGCATCTTTATTACCATTGTTCTAGACCAATTTAGATTCTCCCCCACCCTCTTTTTTTTAATACTTGAAAGATTGTGCTATTGTCGACAGATGTAAGGATGTTTAAATGGCAATAGTAATGATCTTTCAAGATATCAAGTATATCTTGTTCTTACATCTTTCAATAACTGCAACATTTTTCACCAGCTGTTCATTTTGGGTAGATTGACTCTGAGCTGAAAAAAAAAGTGGAGAAATACCGTATGTACATTTAATAAGGGTTGCTACTCTTGGGCTATTTCAGGTTTCTTTAATATTTGCTTTTACCATTTAATTTGGTGTACGCTATTGGTGTATGTTGCTTTGTGTTTTAAAATATCTCAAACTTTTAAAATATGTTTAATACTTCTATGTTCTGGGGTTTTGGTTCATTTTCAGGATTTAGTATTTTCTTTTGTCATAATGCGTCTTTATATTTAAAGATCACAAGAATGTCTTGGAACAACTAAGTTTCAAGAGCTTGATCTGCTGTTCAGCTTGTAATTTTGATGATAGTTGCCAGTAGTTTATGCTGACAGCTTGTTGACAACCAGTATGTTAACATGTCAAAATGGTTTGAGTCAATGTTTTGCTCAAAATGCTATTGCTATCTTGTTCCCTTCCAGCTTAAGTGTCAGTAGCTTTCCTGGTTAATATTTTAATGAAAATTTCTAAGACCAAAATTCTACTAGTCTGAAGGTGCATGGTAAACCTTTGAGTATGAAAATCTTTGAGAGGTAGATTGAATCTGGTTTTGGATCTTTGACTAAAAGATTTTCTTTGATTTTTGCACAGCTTAGAAACCTCAATGTACTTCTGGTTTTTCCCCTTTATCAAAAAGGAATATTAACTTTGTTCAGTGCTATCAACTTTAGCCACTATTTCCCTGCTTTTGCACACTGTTGTATAATGGTGAAGGGCTTCTGTTGTGAAACCAGCCCACAAAAAGCCTGAGTCTGTCCATTGACATGAACAGGTTTTCTGTTGGACCTCAAAGTCTTATTACTCTACTGCAAGGTGAGTAACTTGGTATGAATAAGCAGTGTGAATATGTCTTACTACTTTGGATTCTCTGACATTAGCATGTTGCTGGGGATGCACTGCCATACACAGCATGGTTAAAGGTGGTTGTTTGTCTTCAGTTGTGGTTATAGTCTCCAAATCCATATGCTATTTCAGAATTATTTTTTTAAGCTGTTAAGTTTGAATCTTGTTTGTTTTAAAATGTTTTTCTAGTTTTCATTATTTTTGACGTTTTGTTGGTGATTTTTAGCCCACAGAAGCTGTTCCTTCCTCTTCTCCCATTGTCCCCGTGATCCCTGTCCCACCAGTCCCTGCTGAGGCCACTGTCATCCCATCCACTATACCACAGGTTTTTATTCTTTTTTTTTGTTAAATTTGTTCAACTTTTATTTATTCAATTTATTTCATTGCTTTGTTTAAATTCACGTTTTGGTACTCTTACACACAGGTTTGAGATGAACTGTGAAATAGCTGAATTAGTAGTACACTGAAGTTTCATCCTAATTTTTGTTTGTTTTATAGGAGCTTTTAGTCCATTTAAAATATCTGTATTTTCATATGAAAGTATATTAGTAAGCTGTGAAACAGGTAAAGAAAAAAAACCCAAAAGAACAGAAAGAAGCAATAGGATATTTTGTGTTCTCATAATAATTTTAGAGCCGTTTCACCCTTACTAAAGTGTTATTGCTTGATTTATTTATTTATTGAAAATTGAAAAATATGAAAATCTCATATACAAATACTTAATATATGTCTTTCATGGATTTTGCACTTGCATGACATTTCTTCTGTTCTCCAGCCGTTTGTTGGTATTAGTGTGCTTGGGCGCATTTAGAATACAAAAGGGTTTGGGGGGTTTTTTACCTCTATTCCTAACATATTTGACTCATAGAATGTGCTTCCCTTCTGGTCTTTCATCCTTTAAGTCACATAATATCAACACAGAAAAAAAAATAAACCCTGTCAAGACAAGGGAAAGCAGTAAACAAGACTTAACATTAATATCTTGCATATAACTTGGAATATGTGACCACAGCATGGCAAGCTATGGAATAATTTAGGATAGGTAGCAGTTATATTTTTTCATATTGAATGGCATTCTGCTTTTATTTTTTGTAACTTTACTGTAACTTTCAGTGCAAAAATCTCAAACAATGGGTGCATGCCTTCTGAAAAGATGGGTCACTTTTTAGAATTGTTTGGTGACAGATATTTATTAACTTTAAAAGGGAATTAAGCTATCCAGAATATTACTGGGATATTTTTGTGGTATACATGTCAGTATTTTTTTCCTTAAGGTCTGCTTTCAAGCTACGTGGCTAAACTTGCAACAGGTGGTAATCTTTTTTATCTCTGCTACATTGTTAAACTTTACACAATCCAATAATTATCAAAAGTTTCTACAGTTGGCTGTTCCATAATGCAATTTCTAGTGGATGTATGTTTACATGAATCTGTCAGCTGTGCTTTTCCCAACAGGCAGATTGATTAGTTTCAGAACTATGTCCTTCTTACAGAGGGATTCTGCCCACATCAGGATTTGAGGCAAACAGTACAACCGGTGGACTTCTGCTGTCAGTCTTGGTGGATAAAGATAACTGAGTTTCCAGTAGCATTTACTTTTAGGGAATTGCCAGTAGGCTGAACTTAATTTAAAGTAAAATAATTAGTGCTGTATGTATTTATATTTTCTTTGACTGCCATTGCTGTGACAGTGTTAATGTCCACTGATGATACTGGATTACAAGCAGAAGAGTAAGAGTTGAGTGCTCCATGCCTCTGTCTTCTGAGTGCATATAAATGTCTGCAGGAGTTAGGTTATATAATTCTGCATCATACGCGATTCTAAGCAATTAGAAAATACTACAGAAAGTTATTATCAGCTTTGGATTTGGCAGATGCGTTTTTGCGCAATAGGTACATCTGTATTTTGTTAGTCACTTTACCCCTTAGGCAAGCCCTTAGTCTGCTTGTAAACAAACTTGTCAAATGGCTTTTAAATATTTGAACAAGGCCTGGCACAGATGTTTGAAAGTGTTAGGTAATTTGGAGAACTCTTGCATAACAGACTGAAATACCAGGTCTTTCTTCCAAAAACATTTGATGTGTTCAGTTAGATGTTGCTCTGTGTCTTTGTAGTGTCCAGGCATACCTTTGGAATGCCTGGCACAAAGCTTTTCCCCTTCCTGCTTGGAAATGATGGTAAATTATTGCTTCTTGATGGAGAATTCAGATAAATGCAGAAGGAGTGTTAGGAATTACGGAAGGTGTTCTGCATCTGTTGGCTAGTTTGTGTCAAAAACTTACTGTTCACGTAGAAACCTCACCTACTAATAGCAATTTGCTTCTAGCTAGTCTTCCTCTTTTTTTTTTTTTTTAAGACATTAAAAGAAGAACACTTGTCAGCCTCAAGAAAAAGATTCATGGGAAACCAGCTTTTGTTGAATATACTTGGATATTACAGAATCCTAATATTAAGTAAAAATGAATTCCAAAATCGAGTGAAATGTAAAGAACGTGACTGAACTTGTTTTGTTTTCTATTTATAAATTAAAAATCTTTTCATAGTTGATACACAAATCCAAAATAAATGTATGTATGCTGTTCTCTTGTAGATCTCCAGTGGAGATTAGACTCCTAATGCCTCATATTCAGTCAGGTTCTTTTTAATACAATGTATTGTTTTGTTTTTTCTTAAAATCATGTTAATTGTAAAGCTCTTACAGGATTGGTGATGCATAATTTAATTGACTGGTGTTTTTAGTACAGGATCTCATTTTTAATTTAATCTTATTTTAATAGAACTTGCTCTTGAATAAGAAGCAGAAATTGGAATTTAATTTAATGGCGGAAAATGGTTGAGAGGGGTAACATTGTTCTGGCAGAGATTTTTATCGTGGTACTAGCAACTAGTACTTGATTTCTGTACTGCATAAAGTTTGCCCATGCTTCTACTGAGAGAATTGCTGGGTGAGAAAGGTGTTTGATGGCATCTTGGAGTCATGTGTGTCATCCTTTTTGTTTCCCTTCTTTAATAGTCTCCTCTATTAACTTGCGTATATACCATCTGATTTTTGTAGTTATTAAATGATACAGGCCTAATTTCTGACACAGCAACCTGACAGCAAATTGATGACTCCTGTCTAGTAGATTATTCATCTCAGTCTTTTGTAAGGAACATCTGAGTCATCACTTCCTAGCTTTTGGGGGCTTTTAAAAATAATTAATTCTTCATAAGTATGTTGTTGTCATGGTAATGAAACTAAAATGCAGAATATTAATAGGTTAATGTAATTGTCATTTTTTTGTAGGTCTTAAATTTATCTTTGAATGAGTTTAATACTAGCTTCTCTTGCAGGTTAAACTGTCCCTAAATTTATTTCCACACACACATATAAGAGATTAAAAAAAAAAAAGATAAAGAATGTCTTAATTTCAAAGATAGTGGATTTTTATACATATAAAAAAATCTCAGCTTCATTAAAGCAATAGGAGATTAACTTTGTTTTGTGCCATTGAGTTTGTAGGTCCCATTGAACTTAATAAATCAAGAGTATTTGGAGTCTGGAATATATGTGCATGCTTTTTTTTGTTTTGTTTTGTTTTTTTGGTTTTTGTTCTTAGAGCAGACTAGATGCTACCTATTTTAAAGGCAGATAATTGATGCAAAAATAGGAAATCTATTTGGAAGTATTTCAGATAAATGTCACCAGTCTGTATGGATTTTTTTTCAGTTGAAACCACATTTTTCGCAGAAAAATTCTCAGGAACATCAGAGGGTAAAAGTATTAGCTTATTCTACCAATTCCTGGCTAGCAAGAATGCTATACTATTTCATATTTCTATAGCAATAATCTCTGACTGCTTATGGCTTGTGAATCCATAACAATTTTCTGATGGAAGCACATGCTGCTGTGCGGTAGATGAATGTCTGCTGTGGATTTGCTTTCAGATTTGTAGATCCTTTCTTCCATAAGTTTGCATCTCTGTAAGTTTCCATTTTGCAGGTTGAAGAGGGAAAGAATAAAAAAGTGTTCCTGGTAGGAAGAAAGAGGAATCAAATCCACCAAAATTTGGTTTTAAGATATTGGCTGCTAAAGCAACTTTTGAATGTCATATCACAAGTTCTAGGGTAACTGACATCATGTCAAATGATAGCATGACTCAGTTTTTCTTTCGAAAAACAAGATAATAAATGACAGAACTTGTATATAAAATATGAGCTCAGAGTTCTTGAAGAGTGTGGTTTCATGGCATGAAAGCACTTTGTTCAGGGTGGAAAAAAGTGTTTCAGAAGGTGAATTTTTGAGATTCTCAAGCTGAGGCTACCTTTTAACAGAACTTTGAGAAACACAGCAAATTAAATGTTGTATAATTATCATTAGTATTGCTTTCTCTTATGCAGTATAATTTTTTTTTTTTATTCTTTTGTTAAAGGCAAATCCCCCTCCAGTGCTGGTGAATACAGATTCTTTGGAGACTCCAACATACGTAAGCCTGCACTTGCTTTCAATTATAACTTTAGATAATGTTTTATGTATGTAGTTGTTTAGGTCTGTTTCTACTGTTTAATAAAACCTATTTTACCTCTCTGATGGTGCTTGATTTTGTCAGCTGTCCTGATGGTTATTTGAAGTCCTTAAATAGCTGTTTCATGGAAAAAAAAAAGTTACAGATTGCAGGTGGAAGGTTCTCTGTGAGTACCAGTGTGTGACAGTGCAAAACACAGTTGGTTGAGTATGTAGTTGTTTAGGTCTGTTTCTACTGTTTAATAAAACCTATTTTACCTCTCTGATGGTGCTTGATTTTGTCAGCTGTCCTGATGGTTATTTGAAGTCCTTAAATAGCTGTTTCATGGAAAAAAAAAAGTTACAGATTGCAGGTGGAAGGTTCTCTGTGAGTACCAGTGTGTGACAGTGCAAAACACAGTTGGTTGAGGTTCGTTGAGTGTTTTTTCTCCAACTGTGCAGTCAGATGCTTTTAATATTTAATGTGCCATTTCCATTGCACTTCTCATAAAAACACTTCTTAATGCAGTGGGTATACTTAAGTTTTTAGTGCTCTAAGTGTTCATAAAAATGGGTTGATTCTGTTTCAAACATTAAGGTAATAAGTGTAGTTATGTGGAGGCTAAAATTTGTGTTTGGCAGTGTGTGTTTTGTGATAGGAATACCACTGCCAGATAGAGACTTCAGAGGCTTTGGAAGGTATGTAAGTTTGGTATAGGTTTCAGGTCTGAATTTTCCTTCTGTACGTTCCTCCTACAGTTACTTATATCCCACTTGCTTGTTGTTTTCCTGAGCGGTGTCAATGCCTGTGCTAGTTGCTTTATATTGTGTTTATTCTAAGTACTGGTATTAGCATGTAAAGAGAAAATCTTGTACTTGTCAAAATCATTCATAACTTAGCAACGTTGCTAGAAAGGAGCTGTAATAACTCATGACAGACAAAAGTGTGAATTAACAGTTTAAGCAGAAGACAAAAGATTAGTACAGTGACAAAATTGGCTCATAAATGAGTCCCAAGTGTAATAATGATGCCTCTGACTAAAAGATCACACCAGTAGTCTGCAGTGTGTGGCCCTTTTATTGATGTGACACAGATACAGCTTAGAAAAGCATACTGAAGGTGAGGTGTCTCCCTGCACACACAAACTAAACCAAGAAGAAAAGTGATTAATAAATACATATTCACATTTCAGAAGGCCCCAAGTGATAGAGGCACATGGAGGACAGTAGATAGTTAGAAATAAGAAGAGAAAATAGCATTAACAGGACTATTGTGGTTTAACCCCAGCCAGCAACTAAACACCACCCAGCTGCTTGCTCATCCTCCCCCCTCCCCTCCCCGCCCCGGTGGGATGGGGGAGAGAATTGGGAGGGCACAACTAGGAAAACTCATGGGTTGAGACAAAACCAGTTTAATAATGGAAATAAACCGCAGCAGAACAGTAATAATAACAATGATAACAACAACAACAATAGAACAAACATAGATACACAATGCAATTGCTCACCACCCGCTGACCGATGCCCCGCGTGTCCTGAACCGCAAGAGCCCCCCCCCCCACATCACATGGTATGGAATACCCCATTGGCCAGCTGGGTCAACCGCCCTGGCTATGCTCCTCCCCTGTGCACCTGGCAGAGCATGGGAAGCCAAAAAGTCCCTGGTGCAAGCACCACCCAGCAACAACCAAAACACCAATGGGCTATCAATGCTACTCTCTTACCAAACCCAAAACACAGCACCCCCCCAGCCACCAGAAAGAAAGTTAACTCTATCCCAGCCAAAACCCGATCAAGAACAAACTGGCACTCAAAATTATAAGCTATCTAAATTATCAGTTTGCAGTGAATGTAAAACAAATAAGCCCCTAACTATCTGTAATCTAACCTACTCTGTAAGCATAGGAAGTTGAGTAAAGGAATATCCTTCTAGGTTCCCAAGTAGCTAATGGAATTGTTAAGCGATAAGTAATGTAAAATCATACTTGTGAGGTAACTGCCTCATGAATCTACAAAAACATTAACTATTAAAGCTTTTTCTATTGAAAGGAGAAAAAAGCAAAATATGAATCTAGAAGGTCATCAAGGAACAAATGGTCAAGAACACAGCTCTCGTTATCTGAATCATAAAGCTGCTGAGGAAGTACTCTTTCTTAGAACTTCAAACTGGGTTGGAAAAAAACACCAAGCAGCATATTTTTTTATTCTTTGTAAAAGCCCAAGGAAATACAAACAAAACTCAAGTTGGTGGCACATGAAAAGATTAACTGTACTAGCAAAATTAACTTCAGTAAAGCCAAAAGGCTCTGACCAAATTCTGCTGAACTACTAATAGGTTTTCACATTCAAAAAAGATTGCTGGATTTCTGTTGTGGCGTAGTTGCAACATTTGTATAGAACTTCCTTCATCCAGGGGAAGTCCCTGCAAATAAAGCTTGGCTTAGTAGATCTGAGATCACTTCAAAACTTGCAAAAGGTAGAATAGGACAGTGATTTTTATCATTTGACATACCCTTCCTTCTGTCTCTGCTAATGTTTAGTTTGTTAGATAAAATCAATTCAAAGGTAAATTTAAAAAAAAAAAAAAAATAGAATATAGAACTGAGTTAAAGCAAAAGATAAAAATAATGGACATTCTTGTTTGCTCCTGTTTATCTAGATAATATTTTAAAATTGGATTACAGAGTTTTGTACATAGAAATAAACAAGAGACTGCTTGTTGCAATATTAGGATTTGCTTTATTTTGCCTAATGGTCATGAATAGGGAAATGATTAATTGTCCTTGTTATTTATCTAAAAAAAAAAAAAAAAAAAGCCACATACTGATCGGTCATCATGAACCATTTCCCAGGTACTGTAATACTAGATGACTGGTTCAATTAGCACATGTTGTCATTCTTGTAGATAATAGCTCAAGGACTAAGCTAACATAAAAACTTCTTGATCACAGTGGCTTCTTTGGTGTTGGTGTAGTAATAGATATGGTTTCATGTATTCAGAAGGTCAAGACCTTTTCCCTTTTTAATGGAGAAATATGTGTTAAAACTACAGTATCTTTTCCACTGAACAAACTACTAAGGACAGTTTCAACTTGCTATTTGTCCTGAAGAACAACTGGGGATCTCAAGAGCATTTTTTTTCCTGGCAGTTAGAAGCAGAGGGCCTCTGCTCTTACAGTATCTGTGTAGAACAGTCTGCTTTCTGAAATCTTAACTTTTAAAACCATAGAAAAAGTGTGTCTGATTCATGTACAGAACAGTGTGAAAATCACACATCCCCTCTGAGCTCAGTGGTCAGTGTGAATCAGTTGAGATTTGATGGGAGTGAACCACCAGTCGAGCAAACTGTGTTGTGTATAGTGTAAAATTCTCTGTAAGTCTCACTCTTCTTTTTTTATAGGTCAATGGCACAGATGCAGATTATGAGTATGAAGAAATTACTCTTGAAAGGGTAACATGCTAAATGTCTTTCTGTACTCTGCTTTAAATGGGATTTATGATACTTTATTATGGAAAAATTAACCTCTTGATATTGCTAAATGGCAATCCTTAATGCTTTTTTCTTTTTTTCTTTAGGTAGATTATTTAACCTAAAGAAAAAAAATACACCCAGTTGCTGGAGCAGGAATAGAAGTTTTTATTAATATCCTTGACCATTAATAGTAAAATGGGGGAAGGATCTCCCTGACATATACTGCATTTAATGGCATTATCTAGGCTTGTAGAGAGTAATAATACAAACTATGATTTCATTTCCTATATTGCCATTTATGATAGGTTTTCATTTATACCATTAAGTTTTATATTGAGATTCAGGCTTCCAGTTGAGATTACAAGTGACACCTTGTCATATGCATTTGTTAGGTTTACAATGTAGAGATTTCTCTCAGTTCTCTTTTCTTGAGCTGCACTATTAACAAAAAGAGAGAAAGAAATGGTTGTATTTGATACCTCTGCAGTTCCTGTTACTGAGAGGGTGAAGAGGTCTTGCAGTTGATAGTAAGGGCAGGCAACCTTTGAAGAGAAAATATCAGTCTGAGTCTCTGCATCTGTGAGGATATATTACATATGTGACACAAATTACATGGGGGCTTCTCTGGGAAAAAGTAATTTGTCACTAATAACTTAATGAGGAGCAAATATCCCTATGAATAATCTCAAAGATCTAACTCACTAGAGAGGGAAGTTTTTATCTAGTTTATCAAGTTCACTTCAATAAGAAAGCTGTGAGGTTGGAACTGTCTCTCTTACAGTTACACAATGACTTATGTTCTCCTATGAAAATAAGTATAATTACATCTTACATATGGTTATATGTAGTATACTGCTTAAAGTGTCTTTTAATATTTTTTTATCAGTGAAAAATATATAGATTTGGTTTTATCTATTTGAATTAAATAGATGTACTAGAATATCTTTTCCCCAAAGAAGAAATGTGTAATTTTTTTTCCCCTCTACCTTTAGGGAAATTCAGGACTTGGCTTTAGCATTGCAGGTGGTACAGACAACCCACATATTGGGGATGATTCAAGTATTTTCATTACAAAAATTATAGCCGGGGGTGCAGCTGCACAGGATGGAAGATTACGGTATGATGACTTTCTGTGTTGGATTGCTAAATGTTTCTTATTATATTTTCAAACAGTGGATAGAACACTTTCTGTTACTTTTAGTAGTTTTATCATGCTACATTACCTTTTAAATAAGTTTTTCTTACAGAAAAATTTTGTAAATAATGAAAAATGTTTGAGTGGACCAATTTTTTTTTTCCAGCCAATAAAATCTGCAGTTAAGTGAAATTAAGTGAACTTTATCTTTTCTATTCGGTGTATAAACTGGTTACGCCATATGTTCTATAGTCCTTAATTCAATATATAAAAGAAAAGCTTAGGCAAGTAGGATAGGTAACTCTTGGTTATCCATGTGCAGATTTTCTGATCTGTAAGATAGTTGAGCTTAATAAAAACCCTCTTTTATGCTTGGTATAATTCTGTGTCTTAATCTTTCAAAGATACGACGCATTTTCAGAAGCCATATTTTTTGTTTAAATTAATAGGGTACTCCTTCTTCAGTATACCCCATTTACTTATTTAATTGTGGACTGATACTACTACTTAACTCCTAGTGAGGAAATGTTGGCATGTTATTAGATGGTAGCAAGTGATATTTGCAACTTCCTTTGAAGAGTACTGTTAGAAGTTAATAACAAACTGCATTAATGAATTATTTTTCTAATCCATAACAGTCTTTAAGTATACTCCTGAATCACTTTGTGGCAGAAAACCACATCCGATTGTAGGACCAGCTTTTTTTCTTCTTGTGCTGTCAAGAATTTGCCCTATCATTTTTGGTGCAAATGCCTGATGCCTTATGGTTTTTAGTCCTAATAAGCTTATTTCAAGGCTTCATTTTAGCTTGTTGGCCATTGTCAGAGGTACATCTGGCAGAACATGGTGACGGATGGGTCAGGCATTGTACTTAGTGTAATGAGAGCTCAGTGTTACTACAGCAACATGTTAAATGGAGTGGAAGGCCAGCACTTAAACAGCTTTTTAGGAATGGAGGTTGACTTGGCTTAAAACTGGCATGTTCTCATTGTGTGCCTCCTAGTTTTCTGAATTTTTAAATTATTTCTTATAGCCCTAAACAAAAGGTAGTTTGTACGAAGCTCTGTTCAAAATACTGTTTAAATGAAACACGTATAAGACAGTGTCCTCTTCGGCTGTGAACAAAATATTCCCTTTTAATGTTTTCTAGTGATTCTTGTTTTATTTTTAAGCGCTAATAATTAATTTTAGAGCATTGTCTTGAATCAATGTAATTTTGAAGCAAAATTCTATGTATCTTAATGTGTTAACATGTATGTTAGTATATTGTAGATAAAATATTAGGCTCCTAACGTGTCTGCTCTGCTATAACACAACGGCTGAGCATGAATGTTGCTGTCTCTAGGGTTAACGATTGTATTCTACGAGTAAATGAGGTGGATGTTCGTGATGTGACACACAGCAAAGCAGTCGAAGCATTGAAAGAAGCTGGATCAATTGTACGATTGTATGTCAAAAGAAGAAAACCAGTCACAGAAAAAATAGTGGAAATCAAACTTGTAAAAGGTCCTAAAGGTATGTAGGAAGTATAAAACTTCTGTTTCACAAGAAGATAGTTGACGATATATTTCTGTGTTTATTTTTCAAAATAAAATAGTACCTTGCATATGAAGTTCTAGGAAATGCAGAATAATGAAAAATAAGATAGTGGCATCTCAAATGCTTCTGAATTTTCATCCCTGTGTCTTGAAACTATTCTTGTAGAATGCGTATTTTTCTTTCAAATGATAAAAATGTGTTTCTGAGAGTATTTAGTAATTTGTAAGTACATTACAAATGGGAGTAAAATATTTCATTGAATTACCTAGAAAGATCTTTGAGAGATTAAAAAACATTTAGAGAAAGTATTATTTTGTTTCTATATGGGGAAATATTGGACAACAGTTCTTTAAATATCAGTGGTGATGCTACAGCTGTGCTGTGTGCATCTTTCACAAGGCATGAAGTAAATGATTTAGCTTTTGATTTTCAGAACTTCTGTAAATGTTACGTCTTTTCCAGAACTTTCTGGAAAATTATGGAGTTCACTTGGAAAAGCATCCAGTATTGCCTCAATCAGAGCCTAATATTTTTATATGTATGTGTATAGGTGATACAGATAGCATTATTATTTATATAATAATTTGAATCTAATGAATGCTAAAACGTCTCTTGAGTAATGACTTTATCTTCAAGCAGGTCTTGGTTTCAGTATTGCTGGTGGTGTAGGAAATCAGCATATACCTGGAGACAACAGCATCTATGTAACCAAAATCATTGAAGGCGGGGCAGCACATAAAGATGGCAAACTTCAGATTGGAGACAAACTTTTAGCTGTAAGAGCTGCATCTTTTTTTTTTATGGTCATTCACTTTTAGGCCCAGTAAGGGCATGATTCACTTTGTAGTTAAGCTGTCTGCCGGTGGAATGTTATTTCATGGAAATCGGTAAAAAAATTGATATTGCTAAGAAATCAATGATAAAAATTAAAGCTGCAGTGTTCAACACTATCTCATCAGGAAATCTGAAATCTGTTCCTCAGCACAATGTTTCATGCAAAACTCGTATTAATCAGCCTGTTTATTTCTGATGCCTGCTATTATTTTTCTGGGATCTGACTGACAGGAATGTAAACCAGCATACAATGGGATTGTTTCTCTTCTCAAAAAAGAAGAATGGAAAGGAACTCCATGTACTGGTGGCTGGCCAGCCTGTAGTGAAACTGCTGCTTATATTGGATTTCAGTGTTTGTAACGCTTTTGAATTTTTTGGCTTTTTTTTTTCAACTTAAAATACTTCAACTTTGAATTTTCTGTGCGTAAAGTAGAAATAACTTTCAACTTTCTTCAATTCCATCCGGAAATCTTGTTGTCCAGCTAGAAAAACAAGAGCCAGAGCCAGGAATTTCTGAATGAATTTCTGAATTGTAAACTCAACTCTTGTAAGGTGTAATTGCTCCACCCTCTTATGTCTACCATGTGGTACTTGCTTCAGTAAGAGCGTGACAGCAGAATGTGTGTTCTATTGCTCTTCAAACAGTAAGAAACTGACTCTAAATGTTTAGTGCAGAGCTTTCCATCTGTAAAAGGACTTTTTGGGTAAGTTTGTCACTTACAAATACAAAGCTGGGAAAACTGAAGCTACTTAAAGATAAAGAATCCTGGCATTATCCCTTTATCTAAAGAATCCTGCTTTTTTGGAAGTATTAGGAATGAGATCTTGGTGTTACAATGGATAGTTCTGTGAAAATAGCTCAAGACATGAGCAAGTCCTCACATGAGAATTGGGAGGAAAAAAGGGAGAGAATATATTATGTTTACTATTAGCTGCACAATAAATATACATCTTCATATGCCATGCAAATTCAGAAACCCAAGGATCCAGCTGCTTGATGACAATGCTGTTAATATTTGATGGTTTTAAGTTTTAAAATCTGCATCATAGGAAGTGTTTTGATTATAGGACTTCCCCACAACGTAAGGGCCCTGGAAAGCTTCCTTTTAATGGTGAACTGCTTTCCAGAGTTATAATTTGTCACCTGTACAAGAAAATTTCATGCTAACTTGCTTATATCTTAAAATATATGGAAGGTTTTAAGCAATTTTTATTAGGAGTTTCAAACTTTTTACAAACAGATTACTTTGTCCAGTATTACTTTATCCATTAAAAAAATTTGCCTTACAAAATTAAATAAAGTAGCTTTGGATTAATATCAGATAGTATTTTGGGGATGCAAGGAGCATATGCAATATGCTATTGGATAGAGTAAATATAATGTCCTAATTTATTGTAGCTGTAATCATTCCCTCGGTTCATTAAGTTAGGAAAGAAGTGAGTAAAATGTCATCTATAATATCTTCTGATTAGCTGAATTTCACTTAGTCAAAGCTTCAGTCACTAATGTAGAGATAAGCTCCCATATTTTGCAGAACGTAACGATATGTCTATGTGTTTAGGTTGTACTGCAGTTACCAATGCACTGGAAAATGTCTTTTCAGTCATCAGGAGTGGTAGGAGTTTAAATGTTTTTAAAAAAAAAAAAAAAAAATCAGTAAGAGGCATTTGGAAAACTTTTAGGAAACTCTTAGAAAATACAGATGGAAAGAATACATTTAAGCAGTAGAGTGTTTCCCCCCCACAAGTAACAGAATTGACAAGGCTCAATTGTTTTTACACGGTATATAAAGTTAAGCAATCAGAGGAAGGTGTCTTTGGTCCGTCAGGTTCACTGCAGTACAAGCCTTATTTCCCATGTTGCCTGGAATTATCTGCAGAAGTTACTTCCCTCTTCAAAATATGGAAGAGAGGTTCAGCAACTCAATTTACTAAGGCTTTTAATTTTTTTTAAACTGAAGTGCTAGTGTTTTCACCTTAATAGCAATAGTTCAAAAAATCTGTTGCCTGTGAAGTTAAACTAGTTCTTGTTACTTGGCATATAAATCAGTCAGTCATTTTGGGATCTTCTCCAGGTTTGAGCCCTACTTTTGACCTCTTGTGAGAATATGTTGTCCCATTATAATGTCTGAGGAAAGACTTGTCTTTCTTATATTTCACAGCACTACAAAGCATCTTTTATATAACTTTTATATAACCAATTTTGTCTGTGGCACATGAATCCTAATAAAAACTCTAAATGCCAGAGTGCTCCAACAGCTTTTAGTGATTATCTTATGAAAATGTACATTTTTTCTATATTGAGAATTTGTTTATTTTCTTATCTTTAGGTGAACAGTGTTTGCTTAGAAGAAGTTACTCATGAAGAAGCAGTGACTGCCTTAAAAAACACATCTGACTTTGTTTATCTGAAAGTTGCAAAACCCACCAGCATGTTCATGAATGACAGTTATGCCCCTCCTGACATCACAAACTGTAAGTTCAGCTTATCTTTGTGATTTAATTATTTTTCCCTTTAAGGCTTTAACATACCCCATTTTTAGTATTTTAACAGCTTCAAGCTTTTTAAAATTATACAGTGTGAAGATCTGGTAAAAAAAAAAAGTTGACTAATCAGGAAAATTGTATGCTAAACAGAATAACATCCTATAGCTTGTGTACTGAAAAGACAGCATCAATGGGGCTCTTAGTGTGTTTCCATGGCTGATGTGACCTTGTCCTAGTGACTCAATGTTTCTGATCACTTGCTGATGAGTACAAGGAGAACATGTGCCTCATTCTTCTGGAGGCTCTGAAGAGTAACAAACAATGCACTGCGTAGATGTTCAGTGTCCTGTGAACTGAGCAAAAGACAATACTGTTTCAGGTAGAGGTTAGTGATGTTCTGATTTATTTTTTTCTGTTTTCCTGCTTTTTCATGAGCTGCACGGATTTGAATAAACTAGACTGAGAGGAGGGGGAGGTCTTTACCTCTGATGCCTGCCTGCAAATGTATTGCGAAATTCCATGTTAACTTACTTGAAATCTTACTTCAGTTTTGTCATAATTGTTGATAATTCAGTGGAAAACCAGTGAATGCTATATAGAAAATAGTTAGAAGAATTTCTTGTTTACGTAAGAGTACTACTTACAGGAGTCTTTCTGAAGTCAAACGTCCAAATCCAGAAAGTTCAGGGTTGACCTACAATGTAAAGAAAAATTTGAATTCGATGTGCTGTTACTTCAAGAGGGATATTACCATTTAGTGTTTGGATGAGATGAGAATGATGTAACTGTATCTTTCCAAGACTGAGTAAGTGGACTTTTCTGGATGACCAGTTTTACTCATATTGTCACATAAAATGGTTCTGGGGGAAAGTTATTTTAGGGGGTTGTTTGGTTTGTTTTTTTTTTTTTTTCTTCCTGCTGTTAGATACAAGTAATTGAGATGTAGCACTGATCTGTTCAGATACTACTACATATGAAAAAAGGAGCACTTTTGGACTAAAAAGCCACTGATGTAATCTGAAACAGTATATAAAGAACAACAAAAATGCAGCACAACAAGGACTGAAGTACCTTATAAACCCATCATTTATTGGCAATAGCTACAGTATCTTTAAATCTGTTCGTAAGCTTATTGAATTACAATTTGGAGCTAACTAGGTTTTATGTCTTCACTGTCTTATTAGAAGCTTGTTCTTGAAGGCTCCATTCTTTAACATAAAAGTAATTTTCAGCCTTCACTTATTCATCCCCAGTTTTATACTCATATATATGGTTAGAGAGCAGCTATTTTCCCTTATGGTATCTAGTTTGTCCAATAATTCAACCTTTCCCACTGTTTTCTTGGAAGGCAGACTTCTTTTTCTCTCTCCATTGTAACTGACCTCTTCGTATGTTTCACCTTGAATTCAGATTTTCTGGAACAGAGGTAACCTGATTTGTACATAGTGTTCCCGGTAGTGTAGCAGTAATGCAATTACACTGCTGTGGATGGTGATGTGACAAATGTAAAAGTATCTTATCTATTACTACTGTATCTTGACTAGATCATTGGCGTATTTACTTTATGAATCTTTTGTGGGGGCAAAGGCAAAGCCTCAAAAAAGTTTGGGGAGAGGAAGGTAGGGGAGGAACTGGTTTCTGATAATTTGCCCAATCCTAATAACTCAGTGATACCCTGATATTGGCAAAAGTCATACTTACTAACTCTCACTCAGTGCCCCTGATTATTAAAAAACAACTTGGTATAAGGCTTTAATGGAAGAGAACAAAGCACTATAGGAATTTAAAGGACTGGCTCTCTCTTTTGGGAGGAAAACTGAACTGAAACTGTTCAGTTTTTGTGTGTGGAGGAAGAAACCTGTGGTAGGATTTGACAAACCTACTCCTTTACTATGCAACCATAAAGGAATAGTTGCATATAAATGTAGATTGTAATTTTAAATTTTTATGTGCTTTGGTACTGTTCATTAAATGATACTTTGATCTTAAAAAGACTGTAGACTCAAAAAGTTAAGAACAGAGATACTAAACTCAGCGTGACTGATTCTCAGTACTGTAGTTCATTAGTTCAGTTTTAGGTAGGTGAGATCAGACTCCTGAGAGTCTTACTCAAAGCAGCAGTCATATTTCCTCTTTAACTACAAATTGGTGTTCTCCTTTGGGTGATTATTTTGTTTTTATATTCACATTATCTGTATCAATACATACTTTTAAAGGAATATTTGCGCTAGCAGTTTGCATAAGGGCAGGCTGTTGGCCCTCTTCTCAAGCAGCAAATTAATTTCTCTCAAGTGGTGGATGAGCTGGAGACTCAGTGCATTGAAGTTAATTGCATCATAACTTAAAGCTGTAAAAGAGACAGTGGTATCCTCAAGAATACCTTCTTACCATGTCTGTTAGCTCTTCAGGAAAGTTCTGTCAAGGGTAATCCCACAAGATTGCCATGAGGATGTGCACTGCTGTCTTGCCTTGAGTCCTTAATTTCCCAATATACATGGCTTAGTCTCACATCCATTTTCTGGAGGTAAACGACCTGGCCACATATGTAGGCCCTCTTTCGTCCCATTACTGTCTTCTCTCCCAAGTTTCTCTCCCATGGGGCTGCTCTCCCTGTAAGTGGGACTTGAGAGAGATAGTGGCATTCTGTGCAGCCCAGTATCCTGTCCTTTGTGTGAAGTGACACTTCTGTCCACTGAGAATTGAAAAGCCATTCTCCTGAGCTGTCATACTCCTTAAGCTCCAGCAGCTTCCTCTGGGAACCTTTCTACTCCTGATGAAGCATTTTGAAAAAATCACAAAAGATTTCTCAGATTCCAGGTGTCTGTCTGTCTTCTGTCCTTCGGTGACCTTTGACAAGGTTTGTGGGCTAAAGTGCTGTCTGTACTTTCGAGTAGATTTTCTGGGTTTCATTTCATGTAGCTGCAGTTTTAGCGTTTAGTTCTCTGTCTGAAGTTACTCTGGTTTTTTACACTGTTTCTGGCAGACTTTTGTGAACGGTTAACCAAAGAACATTCTTCTGCAAAGTGCTGGGTCCTTTGATGAAACTTTAGTCTGTTTCTTTTCCTTACAACAGGAAAGCCTTTCCTACCCAAGGCTTCATATGCTTGTCTGTCTCTGTCGATCAAAGTGCAGCTGGCTGTTACTGCAGCTGGCATGGAGACTCTGGATCTATTGCCTGAATTTTGCACACAAAATAGATCCAAAGGTCTTGCCTGAGGTGTTTAATGACTTAAGTAAACCAGTTTAGCCTTTTTCTAAATCTTTCACTTACTAGAAATAACTGCATATGGCTAAGATGCTAGATGCTATTTTTCTAATACAGGGCAGAACAAAAGCTTTTTAAGGACTCCTCAATATTTTCACATTTACAATGGAAATTTCAAAGGGAGATACCAATCTCCTCAAAGGCTATTGCTTCTTTATAAACGAGTACTATAACTTTGCAACTAGAAAGCCTCCACTTTCTGTAAGGAGCTGCTCAACTAGGTAGAACTCATACCAAAAAATGGTGGCTCCTGTATTTTAGAAGCTGATGTTTTCGGAGCCACCATTTCAAGGTTTGTTTGCAGCTTCATTCTCATCTCAGTTGAGACCTCCAAAAGCGATGCTGCATTTGGCAGAGCAGTACCTGGCTCAGAAGCTTCAGGTTAGGGACTCTGAAGAGCTTTTCCCAGATGACAGTTATTAAAGATGTGTTTTCTAGAAGCACCTGGATTGTGAGTGAGTGTTGAAACAGTTACTAGTCTTCCTTCTTTACCTACTCACTTTGCAGCTGTTTTGAGACATGTATTTGCAATCCTCCTTTGTATTTCTGTCCATCAGAATCCTCCTACCCAGGTTCTGAGGAGTTAAGGCCCATCATAAAGGAGAAGTAATACGTCTATAACTTCCACTACCAAATCTCTTAAATTTGCACAGAGGCTGCCTATGGACATGCCCATTACCAATGATGTTAAGGTAGAAACCCTGTCTACTACCTGAGTATATACGTAGACTGCTCACTGCCAGAACTCCCCCCCTTTTTTTTTTTTTAATTTCTGTGGGGTTTTTTAAATGCTCATTTTATCGAAAGCATCTTAAAAGCACAGCGCACGGTACTTACCGGCTTGGTGTGTGTACTGTCTGCAGAACATGCGGTAGATTGCTCATTACACTAACTTTTGTGAACATGGTAGTTCATTCAAAAGTCCATAAAACACCAAATTCAGAATTTGGTTGTCTTTAAGACTTTCTCTTTGGAACTGGTCTAGTTTAGTTATAGGGCTGCCTCACTTTCCCTGGTGATAGGCATTTAAAATGCAGAGCTAAGGATACTGAAAAACTGTTTGAGAACCAGTTTCACAAATTTCAGTATCTAGGTTTTCTGCAAAATCTGTTTTCTTTTGGAGCTCCTGTAATAAGAGTACCAGCCACACAATAGTATGGTCTTATCAGGTGGTCTGATGGCGCAAAAGATGGGACAAAGTAAGTTAGCATCCATATAAATAATTAAATAATTTGATATTTAATATTTCTTTGGGGTTAGTGTCTTTGTATCAAGGAACATTTGATCAAGAGGTTTCTGAGATTCTAATTTATGGAGTATTTATTGAGAAGAGTACAGATCCTGCCAACATAATTCTTTGTGCACCTGGGGCTGAAAGTCGACCTCCGTCATTTGATATTTATCAGAGTGAGTGAACGGCTTCTGGCTGCCCATGGGAGAAATTAATGTTGAAAATCTTGTTAAAGAAGAGTTGGGGCTGTCTGAGACCAGAACATTTAGCGGAGAATGAATGTGGAAAAAGTAGCTCATAGTTATGTGCTGTAGCTCTAGAGACTGGTACTGTGAGCAATGAAAGCTTGACCACAGCCCTTGACAGTCTGGAATAGTTGATTGCTATGGCTGTTTCTATTGCTTCTGTGAGATTTTTCTTTTAACCCTTGAGGTGTGGATTGCTAGTTTAAACAGTTACTTTACAGTGATCTCCATTTTCTGACTCAAGAAGAATGCAATTATGAAAGATTGTTCTTTCTGAGCACATTGCCATTTGACTACTGTTCTCCTGTGTGGCATTCAGTCTCTGAGACACTGAAACACGAGAACTTCCGGTATAGGAAACATGGAAATTCAACAGAAAAACCTATGTTCATTGTATGCAGAGGAACAGCAGCATTGTAGGTGGGATGGTCCTGTGGTCTAGTCCTGGCTAGCACCATTGGCAGCTAAACTGATTTGTGTATTTAATAATCATAGCTATTAGTCTCCTGTAGTAGATCATATGTCAGTAGGGAATGTAAACTGCCTCGGTAATCTATATATAAATATTGGTCATTAAATGGTCCCTGGAACAAATGTCCAGTAACTTATTGGTGTAAATGCTTTTAAAGTTATTTAGTTGAAATATTACTAAGAAGGTCTAGAACTTGCTATATAAAAACACCAGCATTACCTGTTGTCCTGGTCTCGGCTGGGATAGGGTTAAATTTCTTCCTAGTGCTGTGTTTTGGATTTAGTATGAGGAGAATGTTGGTAACACACTGATGTTTTCAGTTGTTGCTAAGTGCCCTCCTAGTCCAAGGACAGCTCCCATGCCTACTGACTGAGCTAGGTACACAAGATGGGAGGGAACATAATCAGGACAAGCCAGCCCAGCTGGCCAATGGGGTATTCCATACCATGTGACGTCATGCTCAGTATATGAATGGTAGGCGTGATCCAGGAAGTACCGATCGCTACCTGGTTATCGGTCAGCGCGGGTGGTGAGCAATTGCACTGTGCATCACTCATCTTGTATATTCTATCATTATTATTATTATTATTTTCCCTTTTCTGTTCTATTAAACTGTCTCATCTCAACCCACGAGTTTTTCTCACTCTCACCCTTCCGATTCTCTCCCCGTCCCACTGCGGGGGTGGGGGGAGTGAGCGAGCGGCTGCGTGGTATTTGGCTGCCTGCTAGGTTAAACCACGACACCTGTACAGTGCATATTGTAGAATATCAGAGTCAGAAAAGTGTCTACACCATTTTTGAGAGACAGAGGACTTGCTTCCTATACAGGCCTCCTTTGAAGACATTATTAATGAAAAATAATGAAAATTAGGTGGTTCCCTATCTGGCTCGGTACCTCTTTTATTAGACCATTGATCAAGGTAAAACAATGTTGATGTGATACATTCTCTATGTATGGAATTTACTGCACACAGGTTTACTAGGAATCTAGAATAATACAGAATCAATCCAGTGCAGATTGGGTGGTTTGAAATCTGGCTATTTAGCAAATCTATCATATAAAAATACTCTTGAGGAAGTTTGTATGTGATCCAAATGTTATGCTAGTGGTTTAAAATTAAAAACAAAAAAGGAGAATATACAGGTCACTTCTGCAATCTGTGTCATGTCTATTCAGTTAAAAAGCTTTGGCTTTAGTGTAAAACCTCAAAGGTCAGGCACCACATCAGGTATAGCAAGCGAATAAAAGCGAAGAGAGTCTGGCAACTTTAACTATGTTGAATCTGTGAAGTGTCCCCACCCTCCATGTTTAAGCCTCAAATCTTGAAGCACCTACACCAGGAAAAAGATTTTCAGTTGTAGAATATGCTTTGTAATGGGAGACAGTGGGTATGACTATGCCTGGTGAATGGACACTTAAAATTGATGTGCCTAACTTGGAAATATAATGCGCCCTTTTAATTATTTATTGGAACAACTCGTCTGGAATCGTAGAATATTTTCCATCAGTTGAAATCATTAAGATGCTAAATTTTTCTAGTATGTGTGCTGTGGTTCAGGTAAAACATATGTACATCATGCACAGGATTCATGTCCTGTTATGCAAGAGGTTAGACTAAATCCTTTTAATACTCCTTTCTAGTTTTAATCAATGAACCTGTGAATAAGGCAACTGACCCTTGCAGTACAGTTGAAATTTTTTGCCCTTGCTTGTTTATTCCTCTCAGTAAATTGATGCCTCTTACCTTGAAGAGCAGGAGGTGGAATAATCCTACCACTGTTTCCTGATGTGTGCTGTTGGCTGAGCACATACTAGCATCACCACCAGCACCTGTGCTATTACAGATGGTTTTGTACAGTGTCTAAGACATTTAACATCCCTCCCTGTTGAGACCTGGTGATCAGAATGGCCTGGAGTATTCTGGAGATGCTAGGATGCTCCGCATCAAAGCATTGAAAAGAAAGAAGTAGGGAACCTGACAGTTTGGAAGAAGTGTAACATTACAATGTTGTATTTTTCACTGTTGCTCCAACGTACTGATTTTTAAGAAACTGAAATTCTTAGTTTACTTCAGTCAACTTGAAGACAACTTTGAAAACAGATACATCTCCAGACTGTCCTCACGGGCTTCAGTTGTCCACAGTGTCTGTTTATAAAAAAGGGGTTTTTCTGAAACACAATCAAACTGAAAAATTTGCTTACTGACTTAAAGTGTGAGGAGACTGGGGACAGTATTTTAGAACTATGATATTTATAATGTATAAATATATATGTATATTTGAACGGGTACAATTTTGTTTTTAGAGGCTACTTTGTTTCAGCTCCTCCAGCTCTTTTTCCTTATTGCTTTAATGCTTATTATATTTTAATTTTTTCCTCTTTGAAGCTTATTCTCAGCCAGTGGATAACCATATCACGGCATCTGCCTACTTGGGACAGTCCTTGCCGCCAGCATCACCGGGGCGATATTCACCAATTCCCAAGGGAATGCTTGGAGATGATGAGATTACCAGGTAATGAATAACCAAAGCTACATGTCAATTAATTAACCAGGGAAGCTCATAAGATGTGTTTGTGGGCAAAATACTAGTGAATACTATATTTCATTTCAGCAAATAAATGCAAATCATTAGTTTCTTAACACTTGTAAACATTGGTGTAAGGCAAAAACTAGATATATTTTTGTATATATAAAAACATATATATATATACACACACATATACACATGATTTATCAATCCAGGAATAGTGTTAAAATCAGAATGCCCTGCAAAATGCTCCATGAGTTGGCTGAGGTTTTTAGGATGGTAGTATGAGCAGGCTAGAGATTATTTCTTATTTTAAAGCCAGCAATGTTTTTTCTTCCCCCTCTCCTCTACCACCAGACAAGGGTTTGTTTTGATAGATTAGTAGATCCAGAAAGGCTAGAGAGCTCTTAATCCTTTCCCATTAGCAGACTATCCATTTCTTCACTGATTCAGTAGATTGCATTAATCTTTTGTTCATCATCGCTGATAAAAGGAAGCTCTTCTAATTTTGTTACCCTTCTGTTCTGCAAGTACAGGGATGTTATACTGCATTTTTAGTGTGTTGTTACTGAATTCTGTGTCACACCATCATCTGATACGGATAATGTCACTCAGTTTCTGAGGCAGGGTCTACTCAGGATTGAAACATAGGTGGTAAATAAGTTGGAGAATGAATTTTAGTGTTTTGGAAGGTGGGAGAGCCTCGGATATGTCTTTGTGGTTATTTTTAACTTAGGGTTGGGTGGACATATAAGCCAAAGTGATTCTGTTTTGCTCATAATATTGCTGAACTTACGATGTTATGGCTTTCCTTTAAAATTACTGTAAAGGGAGGTTTTTAGATTTCTTCTAAAACACAAGCGCTATTCAGAGAAGGCTTTAGGTGATTTTCTTTAAATTACCTTCCCATCTTCCGCTCCGTCCATCCCAAAAAGAGGTTTAGAAATTTTGAGTAATATTTTAAAAGATACTGTCTATTTATGTTCTCTAACTGCAGCATTTTTGTTAATGTATTAGTGTGATCCAGAGCAATATACATAGGTTTTCACAATGTCATTTATTTGTAATAAAATTGTACTCTGAAAAGATGAATAATAACAGTTGATAGGGGGTGAAATTTAAGAATTTGACACTAAGTTGATTTAAGAGCTAGTGCAAAAATGGAGTGATTTTTAAAGATCGGACTAGGTGATATTTTTTGTTTGTTTTGGAAAAATGCAGCTTCTTAGTTTATCCTATAAATTAATAATTAATGTCTCCAAATACTTAAGAATATCCATTAATTGTTCTTTAGTGCTCTCTAGTGATTTTTCAAATGCAGTGCACAGTTGCTCTGCTTTGTTAGAAATGTCTGTTTCTGAAATCATTTATGCTTTTCTTGTGTTGGGTCAAGTAGAAGATTAGTAGATTTTTGGAAGGAGTGTTTCTGCATTAGAAGTTGACTGGCCTTATCTTAACTTGACCAGTATTTCTTCTTTCCTCTCCTCATCCAAGCCAGGAGGGGATCCTATAAAAAGAATGCAACAGCTTGGTTTAGATTTAACTCTTTCAATTGTAGTTGCTGCAAATAAATTGCAAATGTCTTTGAGAATGCTATAAATTCTGATTTTTTTTTTTTTTTTTTTTTTTTTTGAACGGGCTTATGCATACTTCTTGAATTGTTCTTTGCTATAGTTATTGCTTGACCAACTGGAGTGAAATTAAAGCAGTAAGGACATATTTTTTGTTATTGGTGTTTCCATTAGAATTTGTTCTTTAAGTTTCAGAAAGGGAAAACAGTATTTTGTTGCTTGCTATTACATAGAATAAGACTGTGGGCTGTACTGAGGCTCTTGAATAATATGGAAAGTGTTAAGTAATGATATTTAGTGCTGAATAGGATTGTAGCATAATAGGAATTTAGAATACATACGTACTTATGAATTGTTCAGTTCACCTAACAACAAGCAGAATTGAAAGCATAGAAATAATAGAAGCTATTATTTGAAAGTCTGAGCTTTGGGGGGGGAGGACTGAGGGCGGAGCAGGTAGAACACATGACATTGTTGCCTTAAGAAATGTGTAACTTTTGATACCTAAATTTTCAACACTAATTCTCTTAGAAAACTTAGCTTTTTCTTACTGTTTATTTTGCTTTTACTCATGACTAGTGACCAAGATTTGGTATTCCTTTCTTTCCTTCAGGGAGCCTAGAAAGGTCGTCCTGCATCGAGGATCAACAGGTCTTGGTTTCAACATCGTTGGAGGAGAAGATGGAGAAGGAATTTTTATCTCTTTCATACTTGCAGGAGGGCCAGCTGACCTGAGTGGAGAGCTTAGGAAAGGAGATCGTATAATTTCTGTAGGATTCCTTGCTTCTTTCATTTAAACAACAACAAAAGTTTTCCCCTCCCTGGATTTTAGTGCCTGTTAATATGATTTATATGCAAAGAATATCATTAACTGAGCCGAATTTGAGACAATGGAACAGATGCCAATATACTTCCAAAGTATCTTTGGAGACTTTAGTCTGCCTCAGTTTCTCATCTGTAACCTGATTAAAATAGCACTTTCCTATCTCAGAGATTTTTTTTTTTTCACTGAAGACATTAATGTGTCTTAGTCTGGTAGCTGAGGGGTGTATGTGTCTAAATTGAAAGAATGCAGGCTTCAGAAATAAGCCTTCTAGTGAGATGTAGACAATTGGCGGTAGTGTCTAAAATTGGGTGCTTCCTGGAGTAACTACTAAACTTCCTTTTAGTCTTAAACAGATCTATCTCATACCTGTCTGAGGGCTTTTTCTATATTAGTCCTGAAGGTCATAAAGATTTTGTGAAATAAATTAATTTATGGAGAATCATTCCTTTGGACAATTACATTATAATTTGGTAGTTATTTAAGAGGAAAAAATAATTTTGGCTCTGCTGTTACTAAAATGCTGATATTAAAGTTGCACCTTTATTTTAGTTTGAACTATGAAAAATTGGTCTAAAATGTGACACACGTATTTCTGCTTCACTTTTTTTCTGACACTATTTTTAAATCTCCTGCATTGAAAACAAGGCTAGGCAATTTCATGGAGGGTGTGGTCTGTCACTGGATGTTAAACATAATGGTCTGTAGGCATGCTTTGCCTAATGAGGTCCCTGAAGCCCTGTTGTAGAAAGGTGAGGTGAACTATCACAGAGAGTAACATTCTCTGTGTCTCCTTAAAAAGAAAGGAAAAGGCCTTAAGAAGAAAATTGACCTCGTGAATACAAATTCATTAAGTGATATACTATGACTATTACAGTATTTCTTAAGAGGGTTATGTGTGAGAGAGCATTTATTCACTCTGGTTTTCAGTAAGGATCAGTAATCTTTGTTTGTATGAACTAGCTTGTAATGTTGGAAACAGGGGAAACTCACATGGCATGGAAACTGTGTTCTGTGATGATAAACACGAACATTTATTTTGATAAAGAGCTTGTTTGTATTACTTGTAGGTAAATGGAGTAGATCTAAAAGCAGCAACCCATGAACAGGCAGCAGCAGCCCTGAAGAACGCAGGCCAAGCAGTAACTATCGTAGCTCAGTACCGTCCAGAAGGTAAGGGTTGCCTTACACATTCAGAACTTGGTAGAAATACCACATTGTTACTTCTGTGTTTTACAGTTGTCTTCACTCTTTAATATAGTGGGTTTATTTTCCTTAGTGATGGGAGGATAAAAGATCAATTCCTTCTCTGTTGTGTTGATTCAGATGACCTAAGGAGACCATCAGGTTTTCATTCCTCTGTTTTATACTGAGCTGGTATTTCTGTTTATCCAGCAATTTCTTCTGGTCCAGATTAGACTACAGCTGATGCTGATTAACCATCCTTCTGTGTGCTGCAGAAGCCAGATAATACTGCCTCATCACAGTACACATACTTGTCCTCTTGTATTTCTACACCACATTTCAAATGCCTTTGTCTATTTGAGACTTTAAAAATTCAGTAGTCTGAAATTATATGCTTACCTTAAGTCTGTAAACCTGTATATTATTGTTTTTATATATAATAAGACATTTTTGATGTCTTATGATCAACAGCTTTCTCCAATTTTGCTAAATTGGATGACCCATCACTAAATCTTCCTTGCAGTGACTTGTCTGCTTAAACCTTTCCTTCAACAATAGTGGCAAGGGGTAAGCGTAGGTGTTTAATCAGGATTGGATGTTAAGCAGGACCACTGCCTTAATCTGAAATTTTTAGGTAGCTGATTGCAGCACACTTTCCTTCATTCTTTATTTCTTCTCTTCTGTCATGTTTCTCTTATCCTGTCCTCCCCAAGTCTTTGAAACTTTAGCTTTCACATTCCTTTCCTCTCCCCCTCCACCCGCATCAACATCATATATCTCCACTGATCCAGGAACTCTGTCAGTAATAAGGCCAACTGATTTGTTTGTGTCTAGTTCATGGTCAAATCCCTGCAGCCAGCCCATGTTGTCAATGCCTGTATTGTCTTGAGAGAGTGTGCATCCTGTTCACATGTTGAATCTGTAGATTACTCTGTTCCAGGATTCGTTTTCTAGGAGTGCTTGCTCTGACCATTCTTTTTGGAAAGAATAATAAGGTCAGCATTGGTTCTGGAATATTTGCTTTGGCTTTGTGTCAGAATTGTCAAATATTTCTGATGATACACATTTGGCCTATCCTCTGCTTAGCTCTTCAGAGTTGTAACAGGTGGGTCAATCTGTTACACCTTCTTGCTCCCTGCATAGGCATCCCTCACCTTAGTGAGAAATAAAACTTGTGCTTTTATTTGCCCACGAGTTGTCCTTTTGAGCATCTGGCCACTTTTCTGTTCAAAGAGGGCATTCTTGGTCACTAGAATACCCTCTTCTTCTGCCAGGAAGATATGTTGAGATGTGGCTCCTAGTAGCAGAACAGATGTTTCTCTGGTAGAATATATCCCAGGACATAAGCACTTTTTTTTTTCCTTGCCAAAAAATGTATCCAGACTGCATTCAAAAGCAGCAGTTTTTCAGTCCTCTCTTTGTGGGACTCAGGCTTTAAAAAGAAAAGAATCCCTTCATACTCTGAAAGTCGGAACTCTCTTTTCCTTTTAGAATAAGAGAACTAAGTGTTTTGGATGGTTCTTGCTCTTTCTGCATTGGAAATAACAATTTTCTTCATTACTGCTTGTCCAAGTAGATAACTTATTTTCTTGAAACATGTATTGAGGTGCTTGACTGACTGATGGGATTTTGAGTCATTGCACAGAGATTTGCCCAGAGCAACATATGTTGCCTCTTCCAAATTTCTCAATGACTGTCACTTGTAGACTTCAAACTTAGAGCTGTACTCATTCCTTCATGATTACTGAAGCATTCAGAATAAGACTGCATGCAGTTAAGCTGTATTGAGAGTGCAATTCTCAAAGAATTATAGGGCCCATTTGAGAGGATGCATGTGGGAGATGTTACTTGAATTATCCTAGATTATGGGCAGACATCTGACACATTATTCAAAGAAAGGAATTTTTTCTTTTTTTTTCTTTTTTTTTTTTTTTAAGGTGTTTGCTCTGCGGGACCATCTTTTTTTTTTTTAAATAGTGCTTAAAATCTCTATTTGGAGTAAAGGTGTTGGAAGCATGTTAGGGCTTACTCTACCCTTTTGAAGTATACCATGAAGGAAAAGTGTAAGTAGGAGATTGAGATCCATTGTAGTTTGGAGGCAAAGTATGAATTGACACATGGCCAATCTACCTCAGAGAGCTCAGGTTACTAATGTCTGACTTTGACATCTCTGCTTGCCTTTTTCTTATTCCTTGTAAAAGAGGTTGAATGGAACTCCAGCTGTCAGCTTCTTTCAGGTCTGGTGTGGGACGTAAGTTGGATCAGATACTCACTGGTCATATCTTAGAGATTAGTAGAGAATATTTCCTTAAAGGTTACTGTTTGTTCATTATCACAGGAGAGCAGTCTGTTTGAGATTTGACTTTCCAAATAGAAAATATCATCCATGTGATTGAGTGTACTTGATAAAAGTGCATATGTTCTTTGATCATCTTCAGATTTCCTAAATTATAGCTGCGGATGGTTGTCTTTACCCCTCACTTGATTCACTGAAGTTGGGAAATTTTTTATATATGCGTGTGTTTGTGTGTGTGTGTATATATATATGCGCGCATATATATCTCTCTCTCTATAAAAAATTATCTCCACTTTTTGTTTATGCCATTCAAAAAAAGGTTAACTAGTATTAAAATGAAAAGTTCATAGAATTATTGTTCATCATCGGTGTTTCTCAAATGTCTTTGTAAAGATGAAGAACATCAGTTATAACTGCTTGTATTGCATATGTGTATTATTTATATTTATAAATCCAGCAGGATTTTGTAAAAGATGCTGACAGTTAGGACAGATCAAGGAGATTCTAGACATCCATCAGGGCTCATTATAACTGGGTAAATAGATTCAGTATGATGGGAGCATTTGGAAGACACTTGGGACCAGCTCACTTCACTCCCTGTAATTGTATATGACAGTTTGTATGTTCATAGATGATGTGGGGAATGCTAATTTATGTTTTTACATCCCACCACATTAGCTCTATCAGAAATTCCCCATTTGTCTTTCTCCTCAGATTTCTGGGAAAAGAGGATTTTTGCAAGCAGTTTTCTACAGCCTACTCAGGCTTTTCTGTGAGAAAAATTAATCTTTGGAAAACCCCTATCATGGAAATGGTTGAATTTTCCGTATCTCTCTTCAAATCCAGTTAGATAACATGGCTTATCAAACACTAGTCACTGGTCTTGGGGTAGGCTCATACGGCTGAATGATACTGCTTTTATTATATCTGGGCTCAAATTACATAACTGCTGACTTTTTCTCCCTTAAATCTCTGAAATGTTCCTTGGTTATAGAATCGGGTGAAAACAGATGTAATCTCATTCCTAAAAATATCCTTCTGGGCATTCATTTAGTTTCCAGCAGTGATCCATAAATTTGAGAGATGCCTTACAGAATTTTCCTACTGTACTGAATCAAATTTCAGCAACTTACCAGCACTCTTTGGGATAGCTAAAAGCCAAATAGGGAGTGTGAAGGTGTTTTCCTGTTTACAAAAGTGACTCGTGCATCAGGCACCACTTCTATACTACCACAGTTGTAGTCGGTTGACTTCTGCTTCCTCCTTATAGAGTCCATGCTTTATCTTGCAACTTACCTATGAGCTATTGTTGTAAAATGTTGAGTCGCTTGTTGAGTTGGACTTGTACATACTTTTGTGGTACATACACACACACACACACACACACACACACACGTGTGTGTATACAAAATATCCCTAGTTGCAGAGATCACTGGGTTTGAACCTGCTGGAGCTGAATGCTGCAGGAGAGGAGTCCATGGTAGGAGAAGAGCAGAAGTTTGGGAAATGGGAATTACCCTGTAGAATTGGTGGGGAAGTCAGGATGCCATTCTCGTTTTCCTCTTCGTTTGGAAGCTTTTCCTTGTTCCCCTACTTGTACTACAAATTTCTATCTCCTTTCAAGACATGATTCGTGCATAAAAAGGCATTTTGCTTTACCGTGAGTTCTACTGGAAATGAAGTACCATGACCTGCAGCAGTTTCAAAGAAAGCGATGTTGCTCCAGTACACAACAGCATTTTGATGAGCCATTTTCATTTGTAGAGGTTTCTGTGCCATTTCACTTTCCTGTTGCTCCCTGGCTCTGCAGAGACACCTCAGTGCTGTACTGCTGTCTCCCTTCTTTGGGTTTTCTACAGATGTAGGGTGGCAAGGAAAAATTGTGATATTAGTGTGGGAGAATGAGAGGAAGCTCTAGGCAACTTGGATATGTATGTATCTCCTGGGAGTGGGGATTCAGAGATGGTCAGAATTCTGATCATGCTACGTAGCAGATATAGGAACATGAGAGTCTCAGTGCTTGCAGGGAATGTAGTTGAGAGGAGTAGCAAGGGGGAAGTATAGGACTGTCCAGAGGTGTATAGCCCTTGGAGGGCTCTCCCCTCATTACACATTGACATTTCCATTTTTATGTCCATTCAAATTAAAAGGTCATCTGAAACATTCTTATGTGTTTTGAGGATGACATATTAATAGTGTTACCTCAAAATTCAGAATTTCTGGAAGGTTAGATTTTTGCCATTCTGAAAAGGTATGAGGTGCCAGTAGGCTACCATAACTGTATTATAGCTTGAGTGCATTTAAGTGTTTAAAAATAAGAAAAATAGCAAAAGAAATACATTAAAAATATGAAAATATATTTGGTTGAAATTGGATAGAGAATGATTTTGTGGATTAAACATCTTTTGTTTCTCAAGGATCCACCTGACATGCAAAAAAAAAAATTATAATTTTAACTAGTACAGTAGTCTTTTTTTCGTGTGAGTTATCAGCTGCCTGTTATTTAGAATTTAGAATCTACATTGGTTTCTCTTTGTAATTCAGCTGATCAAGTCCATCTCTATATATCCACTTCTTTTCTGAAAGAGTAGTAAGATGGTTACGTGATCAAATTAGCTCCATGTTCTTAGGTGATTGGGTGGATCAGTGTAAGACTAGGAGAAGGTGGAGCCAAAACCTCAAGAGAAGATTT